AAAGAAGATTCCTTCTTCCCAGAAATTATTTTTGCTTGAATTGCTTAATGAATGGGAAAGAATTGCCTTTGAAAGTAGGTATTCTGCTATTGTTTTAATAATTTAGAACATACACCGATTGATATGCGATCCTGAGTAATTATAACTGATAAAGGAAAATCATCGAGTGATGACAAAGAATGGACAAATTTATGAATTATTTGTACAATAGAAAGTATCAAACTTGACTTTTGACATATGATGATTGTAAAAGATCATTCAATGTTTGATCAACCGACAAATTCATTTTATAATTATGAAGAAATGTCTTTTATTTACCCATAATTTGTTGAATAGTGCAATTATTTATACTATTGAGACAGTCTACTCATCCGACCATAATCTGCACTTGAAGAGCATGATTGGATCGAAGAACGTAAATTCTATGAAACAGTTAATGAGTAATTGATTGATATTTGATGGATGGTTGAAAACTAACTGGGATAAGTTTATCAGCTTCAGAGTTGGAACAGGTTAAATTTTTCCTTTCCCAACCGGTTTAATGCGTAAGTTCAGCCGGAAATAAACCGGCAAAAAAACGACCGATTCAATTTTGAAATTCAACCGGTAAAAGAAATCCACCCATCCATTTTTATGCGAAATATTTCTTTTTTAATATCATAGGCAAAATTTGGGCGGAGATGTATAAATTTATCGAAGCGTAGTGCATATCACCATAACGAAAAAGATAAAGTTGATTGTGAGTTGCCGAAAAGTGCATTTTTGTATCAAACACATTCCATATCCTAGAAGATTTCCTATTTCTGGTGAGCGATACTTTCAAAAGTTTAGGAAAAATTTTGAAATAAAATAGCATAAAAAAATTTCCATGGGAAGATAATATTAGGTTGATAATTTTTCCCAAAAGGTTTTCCAGCTCTCCTAAAGCTTTTCTTAGCTTTATGAAAAAAACTGAAAAAGTACGTAATAGTTGAATTATTCCAGAAAAAAGTTACACTAACTCCGATACGTTGTTGAATTTTGTTGGAGCTGAGCTCCCTCTGTGCAAAAATCCTGATTACGCCACCAGTTACAACTTGATTCTAGTTGCTAATCTTTTCCAGGAAAGTGGAATTGAAACACAAGTTGAAACACTTCTTCCGTATGCATTGCCGTGAAGACAAGTCGGACATTTATCTGACTTTACTTATGCGGGACTACTTACTTTTCCAGCAAGATATATGTCGACTACTACCACAAACAGAAACGTTTTTAGGGTAAATTAAACTCTAGTGCGGTGCACGTAGATGTAGATAGGTACGTAATTTTCCAGTCAAGAATTGTTTCTTTTCTATTTCGAATTTTGTGAAACTCATCGATGTGAAATACAATTGACTTTTCTGACAGTGTAATATAGCCTTCGTATATATTTTTTTCATGGATCCACTATAACAACCGCACTGGCGGCCCGCATACACGCTTCTAAATAACGTGCATAGCATTTACTACAAGAGCACTGTAAATTTTGACTTCACTAAAGTGGATGACGTGAAGCCAAAATTTACAGTGAGGAGAGTATAAATTCGTGTACATACTATCAAAGAGATCTATCACTGTTCTTCTTCAGATAATGTAAGTGCATTAATGTGCTATTATTATAGTAAAGAGTGATATGACAGAGCGAAATAGAGCGGGTAGATTTTGTTAAAAGTATTTAATGAGATTCTGAGCGTTTAGTCTCACGAAGTACCTGGTTCTCACGCAAAAAGTTCATAAGATTTCTTACGCCAAAAGTTGTCAACAAATGGTTCCGACATTGATTTCTCTCCGTTGTTACCATCGTTTGACTCATTGTGTGCGGCCCTGTATAAAATAAAGATAAACAGATAAATAAAAAAGATAAAGTGTTGGATATGATTGGTGAAGATGGCGTCTCAACCAATCAGATCGGATAATTTATCTGTTTATCTGTGTTTACAACTGTTACCCCAGATTGTTTCTCATGTTCAGTTTGCTTGTTCTTTATTATCATGACCGTTATCCGTATTTTACTATTAGTGATTTTGATCAACATGTACGGTCCAAAATCGGAAATGCAACAATAGTGTTTGTGTCGCCAGCGTGGTTTACCATTCAGAATGGATGGATGTTTATCACTGTATTTAATCTGCTTTGAGATGTGCTGATATCAGTGGTGGATTCAGACTAGTCGGTATTTTTCGTTCCGCCTATACTATAGTATATACGCGTTGTCAAGCAGCTGACAGAACATAGTACAACGCGTGCATTCATATAGAAAGAAGGAAAATATCGACTAGTATAGGCCAGATCGCTGGCGGATATCCGGTTATGAAAGTTGTCCTGAGCAACGTGCCGTACTTCATCCAAAAACAAGTTGTATCAGTCTGAAATCTGGCAAATATCTAGTTCATGATATAATGACATGTGTTTTTTTTGCGGTTGCTTTTGTGTATCTATCACTACGTAATTTGCAAACAAACTCTGCTGCTTTGACTTGAAAGAGAAAACATTGTTGAATTCCTAACCTCTAACTACGTGTTTCTACAGCGTGTTGTAGCGTAGATAACTGAGAACTGAAAAGTTTGTGTGTTTTAAGTGGCGTATTTCAAAAGTAGTGAACTCTTAGCTATAGGCGTTTACTGCAAAACAAAAAAAGCCCAATCTTCCTATCATTTAGCTGAAATGAGAATTCTGGCACGTGGTAGACGTCTATTTTTGTATATCTAGCGTTTCTCTCACGAACACTTGCAGGTGGCCCCATAAATAAAATTTCGTTACCACACTTTGACATGGTCAACATTTTGTGAAAGGTCAGCCCAGATCAGACTTACCTGGGCTGAGATAGGTTTCTGAGCGGGGGATGAGGTTTTAATCAAAGAATGGCTATTTTCGAAACTTTTCTTTGTGTACTGATTGTCAGAATCGTTGATTAAGTATACTGAATCACAATACGAGTAAAATGCTGTATATAATGCAGATTATTCTTTTGCTTATAATTTATTTAATCGGAGCTTTATAATTTTCTTTTACTATGATTTTGATTGATATTTATGCTCAACTAGAGTCTTGACTCTTGACACAAGTCTTATGAGAATGTAGACGATCCTTTTTCATCCGTTGCTATTGTCAGATGTTGTTGTGTTGTGATTTTATCATCCCTTATGTGTTGGAATAGGTGTATGTATGTACTGAAAGATAAACAAAGGGTAGTACTTATCCTAATAAAACTGTGATATGTAAAATGCGCGAGCTAAAAATGGTGTTTTTTGACGAATTTTATGTTAGTAAACAACAACAGCATTAAAAAAATTCAATGGCAGGTGTAGCTGAAGCAGTGAACAATATTGGAATGTGCGTATGTTCAGTTTACTTTATCTTATTTACTTGAATTTTTTATACATATTCCTTTTATATAGCTACATGGAATCTGATTTTTTATTTAGAGCGATCTATATCAGCTATTGCAACGGGTATTCGATTCGATCTGATTATTCCATTATGGCAATATGTTCATCTTATCTGACAATACTATTCAAATATAATAAATCATTTATCTCTACCCATCATATGGAAAAACATGCAGTAACGGTGCAATTAATACACGAGTAAGTCATTACTCTCTATTAGTATGTTGAAGGATCGCCTTATAATGCCAAATATTGTAAAAGAAATGTTACAACGCCATTAGATCGTTGACACTTGAATGTTTGCTTAAATTTATTTCATTTCATTAGCTGACTAAAGAACACGCGCATTAAAAATCATTAACTTCACTCATAAATAGCAATAGGTATTTAAATATTACTTTATCAAGTATTTCACCTGGCGACAAGTCATTGAATTTCTCTGATGTACCCATCACCCACTAATGAAACCGTATACAAGAATTCAACACTAGAAAAATGAAATACCATGATACACTATCTAAAGGAGAATACCAGGGTTATTTACAACAAAAAAATTTCGAATTATTTGCAATAAATGTTATGTTCCAATCATGACTTATTGCTTCTGTCTGTTTATTATGCAAACTGAAGAGTGTTACTCGCCGTGGCTGTTGCAGTCAATATTCTCTTTGACCTCTGGTACTGTACATCAACTAAAACCATTTCCAAATCATTTATTGTTCGTTTTTTTATTAATTTGTTGCTATATTAAACATAATATATCATTATATAGTTGACATATTGTGTCTATCACATTTTAAGTTCGTTTCATATATTTTTCTTGTTGTTGCTGTGATTCTTGACGCTGGATACTAGTATGAAAAAAAGTTATTTCTATGGATAAAAATCGAAAAATTTTACTCCAAACGATCTATGTGTACATTATAAAAGTTTTTAATTATGTGTTTCTACAATATCTTTATCCGGAGGATGCACTTCTAACACGTTTGCAATTATGTTTTTATTTGTACTACTGATTGATATCTATTTGTTTGCTAAATTATTTCTTTGATTTCTTGATCTAAGTTTTATATGTCATGTTTTGTTATACATTTTCTATTATTTTTTCCAATAAATCACTAAATACTTTTTCAGAATATCTTATTTTACGTTAGACAGATGAATTTTGCACTTTTCGAAGTAGGTAATTAGGCGTCCTATTAACTGTGTTAAGTAGAATTTTGTATTGAGAATTCATTATGTTATTTTTATTTTTAATTCTTGACCACTTTATAGTACATTAAAGGGAAAAACTAATGTCATAGATCATCATTAACTGTGTATTGAACGGATTTGTTTCGTACTCACTTTTGAAATTAGTTTTATTTTTACTAAACGTTTACGATTATTAGATTAGCTGTAGCTGAAAATTTTATATGGTACTCTGGATAGTTGAAGTGTATTCAGGTTCCAAGATTTTAAGTTACTGTCTTAAGTAATGTAAGGATTGTCAAACAAATGAACGTGTTTTGTGAAAATTGAAAATAAAACTTTATGCAAACATAGATGAAATCGAAGCCATTTAAGAAATCTTATTTTACGTCGATTCGATTGTTAATCTGTATAATCACCAACGAATAACACAGACAAACATTGTTCAATAGATATCATTCCCTGACCATCAATATCCATTTCTCTTAACATGCCATCAATTTCTTCTTCGCTTAGTTTCTCACCTCTTGTACTTAGAAAATATTTTAACTCTTGTGCTGATATAAAACCATTTCGTTCATAATCAAAACATCTTAACGAATCATGAACATCTTTTTCTGAACGTTTTTTTAATCCATTACATATTTCTTGTATTTGTTTTAAATCAAATGTTTGATGAGCATATGTTGTACCTAATTTTGTATCAATCTGACGCTTTAATTCCGTATTCGATGGACTATAACCTGCCGAACGTATCACTAAAGCGCAGTCTTGTAAACTCAATGGACGATTATTGTTTTTCTTTGATAATACATCATATGCTTGTTTAAGACGATCGTCTCCACCATTAGAACCCATACTTTAATCTGAAATAGATAAGTTTTATGAAGTATCTCATATTAAGGTGAGAAAATGACAATTATGTATTTTATCTTAAATAAAGAAAAAACGTGATTGTTACTTACACACGAAAACTCTGTGCGTATTAGCTACAAGAAAAAAAATTGATCTTGAGAAATATCAACATTAAACGGTGAATTTAGTGATTTAAAAGTTGTAACAGTAACAACAACTAAAAATAATTACATTTCTCATTAAGAGAGAGATATTTTTGTGTTTGATATTGCTACTATAGATGAAACATAAGTATAAACAATCTATTTCTATACTTACCTACGAGAAATAATAACTGTGTCAATGAACAAGTGAAGGTTGAATAAAAATACACATTTTACTTCCTGATCAGGATTTAAACAATATAAAAATCCATTTTTGTTCGAGATTTTTTTTACTTCTTCTCTTCGTTAATCTTAATCATGACACTTGTATGATATTTTTTTGTTTATAGAAGGATTATATGCATCAGTTATTTGGTTTCTAATTATTATTTAGTCTATTGATTTATTTATTTTTTTTTCTTTCTCTTTCTCAACGCCAACGAACGCATTTGGTTAGAATGACAAAGGTCGATTGAATTGAATTTCTCCATTTGTTATACAGGTGAATAACAGTAAAAATGTCCTCAATGTGTGCATCTACAATACAATACAAAACAGAGAGAAAGAGAGAGAGAAGATAAAAGTGTATATGTTATGTAAGCGAATAACGGATATATGATGACGATGTGTGTTTGAATGAAAAAAAAAAAAGAGTAAGTAATGCCCGAAAAAATAGAACTATATCGAGCAAAAAAATATATTATTCGATCAAACATTTGTCTAATCTATCTCAAAGAATTAACAACAAATGATGATGATGATGATGATGATGATTGTATGCTGAGGATTAGTGAAAAAAATAAAAATAAAACAGTAGGTATAATAGAACACTGTCTGACTTAACTACACTTATTAGTGCTAATTGAGTTTGATTATTTTGACTGAATCTTACTTTATCTATTTTAATTATAATTATTTTAAATGTTTCTAATAGTTTCACTACAAATTGCTATGATTCCCAATATATGGTGATTATTCTGGTGTTCTAGGCAATAAGATAATTTAAAAATGATTAAATATTGTGTAGTAAATTTGCCGTTTGCTTGATAAAATTGGCAATAAAAATTTCTGAGTGAAAAAAAAAACCAACATATTCTTTGTAATTGATTGATCTGTGTTTACCTCACTTTATATATTTAAATATCTCTCGTACGTGTTTTTAACAAAAAACACATTTCTTATTATTCCTTCTCTCTCTGTTTCTGTTGTGTTCTATGTAAAAATAAAAAAATAAGTTTTGAATAGGCGGCATTTATTTATTCTGGTCGACATGTATGCTTAGAAATTGAATACCTAGAATTCTCGTGAATTAGAAGAGATTTTAGAAAGAACGTTAGTGCATCCAAGAGCATATTGGAAAAAGTGTCTATTATTAAAAAAACTAAGGGGTGTGTGCTAGTAATTCTTCATTTTTCATTTTCAGACATGTTCAACATATTTAAACTGATTAATAAAAATAAAAGAGAAAAATTTTAGACTTTTATCCTGAATCTTGACTTTTCTGATGGTTTATTTTCAGTTAGAAGATATTGATCTTGAATACAAAATCATTTTGAATGTACTACATTTAAAATTTGATTGAACTCGAAAACTTCTGTAAATAGATAAATTTATTCGTTTAGACAATATGTTATATAAATGATATATGCGCAGAATATGTTGAGAGTCCAATGTAATTATGATTATATCATCGTTCAGTTTCAGCGTAGGCTTACATGACACGCGCATTAGACATATTAGTAACGGCTTACGCTATGTTTGTGTGAATAAATCAATGAGACAGACAAATAATATTTTTTTATATACATAAGAGCTGCAAGGTACAATAGACTTGAGCTTCACTAGAGATTTTTGGCCTAGGAGAGACTCAATCTCGCTAAGTTTCAAAAAAAAAAGATTTTTCTTTGCTAAAGAAACGAGTTGTAGGTATTCAAAACAGAAAAGCGCCTACATGAATGAAGATAATCTTGGTCAACATCGTAACTCTAGAGCATTTTCTCCCTTTCTAACGTTGTCATTCCATACTAATAGTATAAGAATTTTTCTTCAAATTTATACTATCTTCGAACGAAAAAACCATATTGAGCTTCATAAGAGGCTCTGTATACATCTGATGATAATTAACGCTGTACTCTCTCTTCTGAATGTAACTTGCTTTGAGCAATAAATAAACAAGATAGAGAGAACAATTGTACATCTATGATGACATTTTTGTGATTTATCATTGTTTTTATATTTTAATCTATTTTCTTCTAGATTAAAATAATGATTATGCTATGCTTAAAATTAGTATCATTTGTTTTTCTTCTATTATTTTCTTTAATAAATTGTTCTGATATTATTTTAAAACTTAATTATCCAATCGATAGTTTTTATCCATATTATCAAGTTGTTCATAAAAGATCATCACGTGATGCTGTTCCGATATTCAATAATAATGATTTAGATGATAAATTATCAATGTCTATGTTTCATGATAATGATAACAGTTTACCATTAAAAAATTTTTTTCGAATGTCAGATCATGATCATCCAGCATATTTATCTGAAAATACAACAATTATCGAAACAAGTATTAGTCATGTGTGTGATGATCATATTTACGATCGATTATATGGATGTTCGGCAAATGAACATTCTTGTCAGTAAGTAATAAATATTTAAAATGAAAACATTATCTAATTGATATCTAATATATATTTTTTAGCGATTTTTTATCATGTGTAAACAATATACATTGTCCACCAACGATTCAATCACATTCAGGTTTAATAATTAATCTAATGAAACATCTTGGTATGAATAATTGTGAAATAGGTAAGATAATTATTTATGCTGATATCCTATTATACAATTGGTTCTCTCTCTTATTTTAGATGCATTATGTCCACATGATAAACGATTACAGATATTTATTCAACTTCTCACTCGTTGGACAACGTCTCATTTCACTGATGAAACAAATATTATTATTCATAATGTCGAGGAACGAAATGACATAGATTCAAAAAATTACTGCAAGTACGTTTTTTAATGGATCGTGCATGATTTCTGTATGAAAAAAGTTACATATTTGCTTTTATATTCAACATCCAGATGCTTGATGAATATGACGAAGAAGAAGTGTGTTAAACGAATATTTTTATGTTTATTTTAGTACAATCTCGGAATTAATTGTAGAAGTAAACAATCAAGTTGAACAGCAATGTCCCGCTTATTTGAATACAACAAAAATATTTACTGATCCATACTACTGTCGTTGTAAGTTAAATTCATCATTTTCACTTTTGTAAGAATAAAAACAATTGGTGTTTTTTCTTCTGTTTTAAGCACGATCAACAGAAACAGAATCATTCGAACATAGTGAAACTACAAGTACTACTACGATTGGACCAATAATCATAACTTCAACATTATCAACGTCATATCAATCACAAAAACAAAGTCAAGTCAAAATTCGTACAAAACAAACAACAAATTCACGAATAAAAAAATTGACAACAACAAGAACAATAACCACTACCAAATTCAAAGAATATGATGATGACGATTTAGATTTTATCAACTTAGATAAACTAGCTGGCAATTCTACGGAACAAAGTGTCTTCGTTGTAAGTCGTAGTTCATTTTATATCATGAAAATAGTATATAACTTTTTATCTCTGTAGAACGATCATCTCTATTATAATGTGTCGTATATAGTACCGAAATTATCTACATCAAATATTCTTAATTTTGTACGAGATAATGATATTATGGGTCAAACATTTTCTCGAATTCATGCATTATCAGATAAACATCGTTCAGCATTTGTAAGTAACTTTTTCATATAATCAGTTAAACGTTAACTAACAATAATAATGTAATTTGTTTTATTCCAGGGCATGGGTATTTCGTTTCCATTTCCATTTTATGGTCATACCATCAATAGATTATTGGTTGCAACAGGAGGTATGTTAAATAAGACGATCATTTTCTTTGAATGTTTATCATATCTATTATTATTTAATGATTTAGTTATCTGAAATGTGTAAGTATAAAGAATAAACATGGTGAAATGTTGTTTACAATGCTTTCGTTATATTTTCCTCATCCTATTACCATTTTTGCTGAGTGTTCTAAGATTTTCTCACCGGTGCATGTGTGTGCGCTCTGCTTTCTGTAAATGCTTCAATTTCTATTCATCTTTCAACACGTTTGACTTTGAACTGATATAATGTGCACTGTTTCGTTAATAACAATAGCTTATTCTCATCTGAGTCTTCCATAGAATGAAGTTATCATTTCACTTTGCCTTTGAACTGCAGTCACATGAAAAAGTTATCGAATATGAAGGAACATTTACCAGTGGAAGAAAAAAGTGATTGTTCTTTTATACTGCAGTGAGAATAAATCGTTTCTAATGTTATATCAACATTTCAATAACAACTAATTTTCTAATTTGAAAAAAAGTTTATGCGGCGATAATGATACTTCTACATTATCTAATAACCTTCTCTTTTTTTGGTTTAGGTTTCCTCTATACAGGTGAATTAGTGCATGCCGCATTAATTGGTAGTACCCAATATATTGCACCTTTTATGTCGAATTTTGATACATCACTTGGAGATAATGAATCTGAGATACTTCATCTTGATAATGGTACACATTTTATTATTACATGGAATAAAGTCTATTTACAAGATCAACAAGAACTTGGTCCGTATACATTTCAAGTAATATTACAAGATAATGGTAAGTTAATATGTGTACAAATATGTAAACTTCTTTGACTTAATAGAATTAAAACATTGACAATATATTTAGGAAATATTTATTTTAATTATAATCGTATTCCAACAATGAAAGTATCCGAAAAACATCATACATTTCGTGTTGGTTTATCAGATGCATTTATGTTGGAACGTCCAGCATTACCATTTCATGTTGTAAGAATAATTACATTGTATCATAAAATTGATATTGATAGAAATAAAATTCAAGATGGAACGTCAGTTGTATTTGAAATGGATACAAGTAAAATTATTGTTGTGTGACTATTCTATATATATTTTTTATTTATAATATTTTTATTTCGTTTTGTTTTAGGTTGCAATACGTTTACTGATTGCACATCTTGTTTAGCTAATCATAATAATCGTTATAATTGTTCTTGGTGTGATGATGTACAACGTTGTTCGGATGGCTACGATCGTCTAAGAAATGAATGGCTTAGTGCTCAGTGTCATCGCACTGCATTAAAAGATTATTGTTCGGTATTAGATTATAAGGCAACAGAATCATCTAGTAATAAACAACATATATCAACTGAATCGTCAATATTTCTTGATGATAAACCTCAAAAACAATCACAACAACAACAACAAGCACAAAAATTATCAATTAATAAAGAGAAAAAATATCATCGTGTTCGAACTGCTATCTTTACATTAATTATATTAATATTAGTTGGTGCATTGATAGGGATCGCTGGATTTTATATATACGCTTATAAACATCCGACATCAACACCAGGAATGTGGCTCATAGAAGTGAGTATTACGTTTATGCTAGTAAGAGATCCACATAGCTTAGAATTAGCCTCTCAAAACTATTACCAATTCAAGACTGAAGATAAGATTTTGTATACGTAATGTACTAATCTACTGCTTAATTCAGTACGATAAAATTACTATAAATCATATCGACTCTTTCTATTCTCTTTTAGCATCGTCCACAACATGTTATTGCCCGATTCAAACGTTTATCACATTCGAATGATACATCGATGACTTGCTAAATTACAAATATATTTTTCATGATACATATATCCATCAGGTTTTTTTTAATGATTTTTTGCTTTCTATCTCTCTATTGTGATGTTTTCGGAGGTCGATTGTGAATCTTTTTTTGTATGTACAGGTCTTATATCTTCATCAGTATAAAACATTCCACTTTATTGAAAAACAAAAAGATTGTCTTTTTTTTTCTATTTTCCATCTTACTCAATTTTTTAACTATCATCAGACAGAAGTGTGTATGTAATTTTTGTTTTATGTATATATGAAAATAGCATAACTCTGCAACTGGAATGTCATTGCACTATCCTTTTTTACTCTTTTTGTTTATTCTATAATATTCACAAGAAATATCGTAGAACCCTGGGAAATATCTTGTTTTGTAGAACAAAAGTGTGCTCTTCCAAATCTATCACGGACTCAATTCCAAATCATCGACCGTTTTCCGACTATGATCAAAATACTTAAAGTCCTAAAAACGAATGAGAGTATTTTGGGGACTCTTTGTATTTTAAATATAGTGTTAAAAGGGTCGATAGCTTCGAATTGAGCTACTAACAGATTTTGAAGAGCACATACTTGTTCTACAAAACAAGATGTTTCCCAGGATTCTACGATATTCCTTGTGAATATTATAGAATAAACAAAAAGAGCAAAAGAGGATGACCCACTGACACTCCAGTAGCTGAGTTACACGATTTTCATGCATATATGCCATTGTGTGATTGTTGAAAAATGGTTTGTCTCTGTAACTTGCCAAAAAAAGAAAAAGAGGAGATTTAAAAGATCTAATGAGTTGTGTGAGAATTACTTTTCTATTTTCGGATATTCTTCTACATCTTTTACTTCACACTTATCTTCTATTTTCTTTTTGTTATTTGATAACTACAGTTAATTTTTTTTAGGAATAAATATTTCGTTACTTAATCTACATTCTATACAAATAGTCCAATGCAGAATTTCATTATTTTTTGCCAATTTTTCAGAAAATGACGATTTTTTACCAATAATTTGAGCATTCCAATAAAACAAATAAAGCTTAGTCAAACTTGATCCATTCAGGTTGATCTTTTAATTTTGAAAATAAATGATTAGTCGTTATGATCGGATTTCTAAGATTTGGAAAAAGAATTTGTGTTGTTCCACCGTGCAAAAAAAGGTAACAACTTTTGCTATTTTCACTTAAGGGTAGGTACACCTCTACCCCTCTTTTTTCACCTTGTTGCCAAATGCGGAGCACACGTCCGATCGAACTCAAATTTATACCAGAGATAGAACATCGAAAAAGAAAATCGATGTATTTTTGCTCAGAATTTTCTGAGATGTTCTTATACGGGTTTTCTGGAAAACTCCGGTTGTCATCCAGTCACATTACAACCCTCGAAAAAATGATCTGATCGAGCTCAAATTTCAATCATAGATACTTCAGACCCTATCTCAGGTTTGACTTTTTTTCCGAAAAATATGCTTTCCTTTTCGGGATATACGAAAAATGCTGAAAGTCAGGGGAAAAGACTGAAAAAATCTGACTTTTTCTGCGTGATTTTCAGCATTTTTCGTAATATCTCGAAAAGGAAAGCATATTTTTCGGAAAAAAAATTTAGAACCTGAGATAGATCTGAAGTATCTGTGGTTAAAATTTGCGCTCGATCAGATCATTTTTTCGAGGGGTTGTAATGTGACTGGATGACAACCGGAGTTTTCTAGAAAACCCGTATAAGAACATCTCAGAAAATTCTGAACAAAAATACATCGATTTTCTTTTTCGATGTTCTATCTCTGGTATAAATTTGAGCTCAATCGAACGTGTGCTCCGCATTTGGCAACATGGTGAAAAAAGAGGGAGGTACCCTTAATTGTTGAGAAGTTAATCCTTGCGTGAGATATTTAGATTCAAACGATTTTCGCTCTACACGACGAGAAAGAGCGCATTTGAAACTACATAAGAATATACTTTAATGCTCGTGAAACCATTTGAAAAAAGTTCGTTCTCTTTGAGAAAATACGTTTATTTTTTCTACATTTTGGTACTTCTCACAATTTCTCATGGCATTTTACACGTTCGGATTTTGCAGTAAAACAGTCAATACATTTTTTGTAGAGAATTTCACGGAGAATCTTTTGGCAAAATGTAAAGAGGAGGAGAAAATTTGAAAATATTAGCAGTGCAATTTTTTTTGCGCCACCCGTTATATTAAAAATGATATCTTATTAACAATGTTGTTCGCGGTGGTTGTTTCAAGTTCGAATGTACGTAAGATTTTTGATCACCATCGTCAATAATTCTTGCGCCAGCACTGTCGATTGTCCTTTCGCGGAAATATGAAAGTTTGTTGTCGATGATTCCGATTGTGAAAGATTGAAACAAGAAAGTGCAATAGTTGCCGACTTCTGTCGAACAGTGGATTCAGGACAAACAAATGGGAATAACAAAAATATCGGCAATAATCGAAGTGATGAACGAACAACTAATTAAGAGATAATGTTTCATCAGTTCAATAGCTTTTTGTATCACTGTGCTTGTAAACATAGCTATGGCAGAGCGATCTTTTTCGATGATGAACCGAATGGAGACATCTTTCCGATCGATAATGACACAAACTCGTTTGAATAGTGCGTTTCTGACACACATATACAAGGAGAAGACTGTCTTTATTAATTTGAACAGTATTTGTTCTAGTTTTGCATCGAAAAATGAATAGAGAAAACTTTTTCGATGCTTTTTAGCCATTTCTGTTTTTATTGATTTATTCTGTTGTTTTATAAAATTCAAAAAAAAACGAGGCTTGTATTCTGCTTGACACTTCGATGGGAGAGAAGACCAAATACTATGAGCCTCACCTAGTTTCAAGACGCTCCGATGCCTATGATGTGGAGTGGTCGATATATATATATCATAGTCAAAGAAAGTCAAAATGCAATTCTTTATTTTTTTAGGAAGGTAAAAGGAGAAATCTATTACTTCCATTATGGAAGTGCCGCCAGCAGGCAATTGCCCTCCTGGAAAAAAATATCAAGAGCTATGAGCAGTTATTGCCCTGTGAAGAATTATATTTCGCACCAGAGTATCTGCTCGAAGTTCAAAACAAAGAAAGAGCAATTCTTGATCGAAAAATTTGTTATACAGTTTAAATGAAGGAAAAAGTGTGTTAGTACGGACAAAAATTATGAAGGGAAGCACGTTTGTGTATGCACCACTCTAAAAAATTGATTGCCCCTCCCTAAAAAAATTTTCTCGGCCCGCCCATGCTTCCATAAAATTAATGTCTCTCGTTGTTGATTTTATCTCACTAGCGTCTTTGGATCTTCTTTTCGGGTAATACAATTCTTTACACTTGGAAGTGCATTTTATTCTTGCAACAACAATTGATATCTGTCTACGATATAAATTTCGTATACTTCTTCGTCACATAAAGATGTGCCTGTAACCTATTAATATCTTACTTTATAAATATTTAATTATAAATCCATCTATCTTCTTAGCTTCTCAATAATGTTACCACTAAATTCTGTCGGATAAAACGTTGGCAGTTGTCAGTGTATTGGGATCTGGCAGTGGGCAACGCACAGTTTATTTCAAATCCTAAAATCTTATCACTCGATGACGGAACGTTGGTATTCGATCAGAATTATCTGACCCTTCGTTTCACTCCATGATTAACGATCGAGGGCTTATTTAAATAATAAAATGCCTTTAGATGTTCGAGTCTGTTTCTGCAATTAATTGAGATTTTATTCGTCTCTCTTTCAAAATGGTAAATGTTCCTATGATTACGATTGATAATAATGCTTAGGCGAATTTAAATAAACCTAATACAACTATTTTGGCTGGATTAATATAACCGGGAATAAACCAGGTTATCATCGGTATACAAGCCAACACCGAAACTAATGATGTATCACTAAAAGGTACATGCATTAAGAGGTGTTGTATCCAGCTATGAAATAACTCAGATATCGCAAATATTTCAAATTTTCTGGAACAATATGACAATGAGCCATATTCACCTCCCAATGAAACCCAGTGAGGCATTTCGGTACTATTTTCTTGCGTTCTGTCTATACAATACACACGGCTTACCAGATTTCACACGTTTTCACGGGCAGATGTGGCAGCCGCATTATGAGATGAATATGGCTCATTGTCATATTGTTTCAGAAAATTTGAAACATTTGCGATATCTGAGTTATTTCATAGCTGGATACAACAATTCGCTCAAGCATTATTTATGGTGTGATTTCTGTTGTGTTTTGGTATGGTAGGTAGAATTGCATTCGAATACTAGTTAATATTTGAATAGAGACTGTAATCCTTGTTTTGTGCTCTTGTATTTGAAATCAAATCCAAGTTTCTTAAGCTTCTCATTACTGTAACATAGATTAGATGATAGATAATTAGCCTTAATTGCTGATGATAACATTTCACTCATTTGTTGTTTATTGACCCACACAAACTTCACTGCACAACTATTACTGTTACTGTTGTTTATTTCAGCAGCAAGACATTTTACGAAGTCATCCATTTTAAGCGATTCGTGACTCAACACCACCAACCTATTATGTTGTAGTAAGTGGTTGTTCATATTTACTTCAAATAGCAAAAACTTAGCTACATCCTCAACATGTATATACGGCCATACGGGTGGTGGATTGTACATTACAATGGGTTGAGATCTTCTAATTGAATTAATATACATGTTTGTGAACCAGGAGCCTTTACCATAGACAGCACCAACTAAAGCCACAATATACGGAAAACTTGATACAGGCAATGAAGTCGTTTTTATCCATTGATGTTCAAGTGTCTCTATCTCTTTTGCTAATATAGTAGAGATTCCAACCGGTGTACCACTAGTTTCTTCGTCAAATATCTCAGAGTCGGATGATGACGATTCTAGCAATGAAGAACAATGTCGTTGTCATACATTTCTAATCATTTTAATCCTATCATCTGCATATTTAATCATACTGTCGATATGCATATCTGGCTGAGCACTATAGA